AGTAAATTCCGCTGCCGTCCAGTCGCTTATTACATAACGGTACCACTCGCGAGATCTTAATCTATAAGGTATAAAAAAGTAGCTGCATTACTACCGCGGCGAAAAAAACATTTTTTATTGACTGACGCTTATTCTTATAAATACGATGTGCAAGCCCACCCACGGCGATTTTCTACCCATTCTAAAGTAGCCCACATCCGATGCTAAAATATTTGATTTTTAAAAATTCACGAAATTCTATCCTCCTCTTGCGGCTGCGAAAGAATACTCGCTGTAACCTGAACATACAGGCTTACGTCACAAGTCATGGATATCTTATCGTTTTGCTCAGTAAAGAATGACATCCAGAGAAGCCAACTTTCATCGTAAACCACTGATTTACGTACAATCGACTTGTCATTAGGAAAGCGATGTCCGAGATTCACACACGCATAACATATTGGCAGACAGCTAATTTTGATGAAGTTTATAATGAAATTGGATGCTAATTAGGGTACTCCTGAAGTATGCGTACCAAGATGACGGGCACCGGAACGTAGTATGTATATCAGGTTAGGGTTAGGCCTGAATTTTATTCCAATTTTTCTTATTTTTTTTCTATTACGAGTTCGGGGAATAGCCAAGTGACTCCCGTAGTATTAGTATCTAAATCAATCATCATCATTTATTCGTCAACACAATCAATATAAATGTATCACGGAAATATGGTTAGATATAAAGTAAATAAATAAAAGGAAACGAACTTCATATGTGTGGCAGGAGTCGCGAGGGACCACGAAAGGTTTTCGAGCAGCGACACCTACGATGCTGGTTCAGCTTAACCAATAAATTTAGATAACGCCTATGCTTCCAATTAATATTATCTATAAAAAACGAGACATTAAAACAATTGAATGATATGTGTATATGAAAAATTTGAAAAAATTATGGCCTAACCTGGTACACATAATACGTTCCAGTGTTCGCCATCTTGGTGCACATACTTCAGGAGTACCGTAACTACTATGATGCCGATGGGCAATAATTTAACTGGACCTCATCCCTCTCTCGAATGTTTTTTTTTGCGTTGTCACAATCACAATAATTTCACTCTAAAATTATCAAAACGCTCGAGATTAAAATCTATATTTTCGCCGCCCACTTTAATTGTATAAAGTAAAACAAGAGTTGTTGTTTCATGTCAATGCATAAATCGAGAGACAATTGCTCAAATTTATAGACACAACGTTCAAAACGATTTAATATTGGTACGTTATCTTTTATCGTAATGGTAGTCTATCTGCAAACAAACGATCCCGCGACACAAGAAATTATCTTCCATATGTTACAGTCACAACGGAATCTTAGCCAATGATAGATTAAATAAACGGGGCCATGACGCGCTTAGCCGAGTGTCCAAAATTAGATCCAATTCGTTAAAGCCACGATGCGAAAACAACAACTGGATAAATTAGGTTACCTACCAGCAGTGGTGAGATTCAAATTTTTTGTCAGCCGGTTCCATCACACAAATGTCATATTTTTCAGCCACTTCTGTAACAAAAAGTCATGTTTTTTCAGTAATAGCCTACTAGCTGGATCGCTGATCTCATAAAATTCCGTGAGACGGTTCTATAGAACCGGTGCGAACCGGCTGAATCCCACTACTGCCTACCAGAGTCGAGATGAGGCTTCCAAATACGCTCCCGAGTTTCCAGTATCCGTATTCCATTCCGTACTGTAAACTTATATAATTTTCAACACATTACCGCGGCTACCAAGTTTTTCTACATTTCACTCAAATAAGACGGCTTCGTGGAGCTTTAAAGGTACTACAACGCTGCCAAACAGAAAACAACTTTATATAGCAGAAACGCAGACTAATGGCCGCCTGTGGAACATCAACCAATTACGTTCAATTACTTCAAACGTCATAATATCAATTTTGTCGTCACAAACGTTTTTAACAACGCCAGTTGTGTCGTCGCGTGAATCAACAATATTTTGATACTGACGTGAATAACTCAGAATTTTGGCACAAACAAACCCACAACAAAACATGATTTCGACAAATCTGGCATTTACTTGCAGCACTGATTCCGCTTTATCGCTAGGCTTACCATACGTCCCGATTTGGGCGGGACAGTCCCACTTTTCAACGTCTTGTCCCGGCGTCCCGACCGGTCAGTCCAAAGTCCCGCTTTGGCGCTCAGCCAGTCAAAATAATATACGAACATTAGCATGTTCTCGACACTGTTGTTGCTGAGTAATCTAACTGGTAGCCTACTTACTGAAGGCGGACCGGTCAGTCGAAAGTCACGCTTTGACGCTCACCCAGTCAAAATAATATACGAACATTAGCATGTTCTCGACACTGTTGTTGCTGTGTAGCTAACAGGTAGCCTACTTACTGAAGGCGGACCGGTCAGTCGAAAGTCACGCTTTGACGCTCACCCAGTCAAAATAATATACGAACATTAGCATGTTTTCGATACTGTTGTTGCTGTGTAGCTAACAGGTAGCCTACTTACTGAAGGTGAATGTGTGATTTCAATTGTTTTGTTGTTTTATTTGCTACAACATGTAAATTCCTGTCTAATTTTCGAACTGAAACCGATATTCAGACAGACAGCACACGCACTATCGATGACAATATGGTCAATGAAGACAACCAGGATGATTTTAAATGTAGGCCTCTAATGTAAAATCGGTAAATTTGAGGTTCATAAAGTCAAAGCTATGGTCTTTGGAAGCGTCCCGCTTTGAGGCCACAAAAATATGGTAACCCTATTTATCGCAATGCTGTCACTCAGATTATTTTCAAGATATAGTCGGTAGAAAAATACCTATGTCTGCTATAAAATCTCACGGAGTAAAATTGATTGAATATAAATTAGAATTACATTAATTATCTTATATAATATATATCATCACAAACCAGGAAAAAGTCGCGTTTCCAACCCCGTATCACGTTAGAACGAAACATTTCGACGGCAAGGCATTCTGGAAATATCCCTGGACCATGACAATATCAACGATTGCAGTGACGATATGGTTTCCAAGACAAACCAAATGTAATGTGTGCCGTAGTCACAAATTTTGCGATTAACAATGCATACAGAAGCGTTTTTATCTGTCGCGGGCCTCCTACGACAAAACTCATATTGTTTTCAGTTTTATTTTTCGTATTTTATATTGTCGCTCTTCAATCAAAAAATTTGCGTCGCGGACTCACTCCTTTATTTGTCTTTAGCATCTTGCCGCCAATGAATGTAATATAACTCTCACCGGATTCTCAATCCTGCACGAGTACAAAAAAGGGAATTATCAACGTTGTCGTGGCAACGTTACTGCAAGCGCAAGAGTCAAAAGTCGTTCCTGCTGGGTTAATAGTTAGTCAGCTAATCGTTTTCGGAAGTATGAACTTGATTGTAGAGAAGCCGTAACAGACCAGCGGTATGGCAGTACAGCAATCCTCCCTCACATTTTTATCCCTAAACGGATTCGAACCTGCGAACCCACGCAGGGTATTTTAGAGGCGTTGTGGCAAGGGTATTCTTGAAGACTTGACCATAGAAGTCGTTTATATATATTGAAATTAAATTATTAAATTGGATTTTATTAAATGAGAAAGCGTCTACTTTTCTACACTGTTTGAGCTATTTTAAATTGATCCGCGAAATTTGTTCGTATTAATTGTTATCAGTAGGATTAAATATAGAATAAACGATGGAAAATAGTTCGTCAATAGTATCCAGCTGTGTGCAGAACTAAAATGTCACCAATATCCGTACCCTCGGGCGGTTGGCGCATTAGAGATACAATTGCCATCGAACTTATGATTACGCCGCTCGGGTTCACAGGTTCGAAATGTATGAGGGATAAGTATGTGAAGATTGGGGTGGATTGCTGGACTCCTTGTTCACTACTGTGGCCGCTGGCCTCCATCATCAAGTCTACGAATCTGAAACGAATACCTGGATAGCTATTTTCATATTCTGGCATGAATTGATAACCGGACGAAAGGCGAAGTTCCGTTATAGCTATAGGCTGAATATCGACTTTCCTCTCTGCTCCGTAATAATTCTGGTGTTTATTATTGGACACGTTTAGTGGCCATAACGATCGTTTCAAAATTTTGTTGTTATTGTTATTGTTATTTGTCTCCGTCTCCATTTTTAAAAAATCGCTTTTCTCTTCGAATACTGGACCAATTGCTTTGATATTTATTGTTCATTTGAAAAGCCGGCAAATTAACATTTTTTAAATATTGACGAATCTGTGATAATCCGACTGCTCGGTGCGTGCCCAATAACTGATAAATTACAGAAACTAAATTGAAAAATTATTATAAATATTAATTGTAAAGACTAAACTAAGCGCTTGATAATTGTCATAATTCTTTGGACCTGCCGGAACTTAAAAAACGTCACGTGACCTAGTAACATCACTACTTGCAGTATTAACTTTAAAATATTCAATTGCTGATTCACACGTATACATTTCATTTATATTTTATACATTTTTCATCGCTGATGCTATTTTTAAATGATTACTTGCATATTGACCAACCATACGTTCCGGTTTAATCGGGACAGTCCCGGCTTGGCAGGATACCTCGGCGTCCCACCTGGCATACATACATGGGCCAGGAGCCTCGGTGACTTAACTAGTCTTGCATACTGACCCTCACGAAAGATGATTAACCAATTATCATAAAAATATTTTCTGTTGATTCGAATGTATCATGGTGTTGAATTTGTTTGTGATAAAATCTCTTTCTCGCCTCGGAGAAATATCAGAAGTCCATCCCGTATTAGAGCGCTAGGGATCAAAGGTCAGGTACGTCATTCCGTGGACGATGCACAAAGTTTGCTTTCTGTAGTTTTGAGGAATTTTCGGCAAATTTAGTCCGTTATTGAAATTTTCTGCGCTGAATTACGGAAAAACCGGTTAAACAGTAGAAAGAACTGTAATTTATCCGTCATTTATAGAATGATCGGTATTGTGTGAGCGAAATAATGACCGAATTCCTAGATCCATTAAGCCAAGCTGCGGCAGCCAACTCGGATGAAAGCGATGATGAAATACCGAGAAAAGAAACGGAATTAGCGGAAAAGCAGGAAATTACTGAAGTTGATGATGGAGATTTATTTGATGAAGAAGGGAAAACAGAGCAACAAGAATTGGTCAGTTAGGTTTTCTGTAGATCCTACCAACTTAAACCTATGATTGCCCGGAATTGCATCTGCGCCGATGAAAAAGAACTGGCACGGCGGTGTGGGTCATCGTGCTAAGCGTTAGGAATACGCTCGCCACCGCACCTCTAGTTACTTGCGTGGGTTCGCAGGTTTCAAACCCTATGCGGGATGGTTATGTGCGAGAGGATTGCTGGACTTCTCGCCACCGTTGGGTGGTTCACGTAACCGCTGGTCGGTTGCAACCATGCCAAGGAATTCAATGACGTTTTTACATTGAGCTTCTTTTTAGTTTCTTTCGCAACTTCATTTTACTGTATTTTTACCGAGGGACAACAATGTCCAGACATCCTTGAAAGGAAGGGTGTTTGTTCATTTGTTAAATGAGATTCTCTTAAACGAGACAATGTCGCTCAATCTGTAAAGTGTGTCGCACTGACGGTTCGCAATATGATTGAGCCGTCTTACCAGCCCCGTTCTCCTCCAGACTAAATGTGTGAAAATTCTATCTTATCACAGCATTGGCATATCAAAAAATTGTCACTTCAACTATTATTTCAGAATTTTTTTTTCAATTAACAGGACGATGATGACATCATTGATCTCGTTAACGATGGCTCGTTAGCAAAAATTAAAAATGAATCAATGTCAAATAACAGAAGTCTCTCTACAGAATTTGATGACCAGAAAGATTTGTTCGTAACCGTAGAAAAACCTGAAAAAATCATTTTATCAATGGAGACGTATATTTCATATCAAGTATCTACAAAGGTTTGTGCCTAGGCCAGTGGTTTCTAGTCTTTTTTTTTTTAAATCATCTTTTTTTTGCCTGTTTTGGAATCTTCATTTCCTACGTTCAGCACAATGTGCCAACGCTGAGAATTTTTTATAAATAATTTGACCAGCTCGATTTTTTGAAAAAGCATAAACAGTCAATTTTTTTCTTCTATTTTAGACGACCAGAAGAAGTTCGGCGCCGGTACCAAGATTTTATTTGGCTTCGAGGGAAATTAGAAGAAGCACATCCTACTCATCTGATACCGGTATGCACAGAAATTTAATTTTTTAAACTTAGAAGAAAGTTATTGATGCAATTATTCATAAAGTGTTTTTGAGTTGAGAAGAAAAATCGCTCTTCCTCGCAAACCATTGGCTTTTAAATTTTTTTAAATTTTAGTAATGAGTAATGTTACTTTAAGACCTGATATTTCACTTCAAATTTTGATGGTTTTTAAAATTTATAGGCTCCCTTGTATGTTCATTCCCATATAATTCCCTTGACATTGGATTAGAATATTGCTGTGAGAAGGTGGTTTGACAGCAGTGTGACAAGTTTGGTAATCAGTGCCTAGAGTATTCTACTACCTACCAGTATATTGTATATTAATTTATGTGAACCATACTGTTATTATGTGTAGCATATCGTTATGTCCGAAATTAGCAATAAGTTAAGAGGATAGATGACCACCACTGCCAGGCGCGCAGCCAGGATTTTCAAAATCGGAAATTCCCATTGCCGACTGTAACAGCCACCTCGATTCTGCGCTCGTTCCGTCTTTCAGCGTATAGTGATCATCCTTTTGCGTAAAATATTCAATCCATGACAACTACGAGATTCTAAAATATCTTTATTTATTAATTTTATGAGTCCAACGTAACTCGCGGTTGCTTCCTTTTACGTCAAAATAAAAACATTACTATTCTGGCGATCTGTGGCCTAAAAGTACGAGATAATCTGCCTGATGTATTTAATTTTAATACGCATTTTTGGAATCTCGCCAACTCGTTATCGCCGTTGGAAGAATCTCAATAACTGATATAAAATCCTGTAGAGTACAACTTCATTTCATACAATGAATATACATATAAAGTTTAGCAGTAAATTAAAAATACATATTCATCGTCGCGATTACTCCACCTGTTAAAAGAGCCGACCTTTACAACGAATAATATAACAAGGAATATATATTTATCTGTTGTGCAAAGTGATTAATTCATGACTGATACGGGCATATTTAAAATGTCTTGCTTCATTAAGTTAATTGTTTTCAATTTAACCTGCGGTTGCGTCGACAAAATAAGATCCTCAGCAGTCACCACTCTAATATACCATGGCTATCCACGGACATAAAATAAATATGTGTGGTAAACTGCCCGATTATATAATGTTTTGATCCGTATTTTGCGAATTCGGCAAATTTGAGATGTGTAACACTGACTCCGCTAAATCGAAATGCCGCCACTCCGATTATTTTTAAAATTTTCACCTCCTAGGAAAGCGTTTTTTGCCGCTTTTCAATCAAAAAATTTGCGTTTTCTTTAGATACTCGCCGCCGATGAACGTATTCACCGGATTCACAAGCTCGTGCCAGTACAAATTTAAATAATCCTTATCGTGGAACAAATTTGTGGAAAATTTGCGATTTAGAGAAAATACCACTAACGTAAAGGCGTTTACGGCCTAAATAACACGTCCGCTGATAAAGCAATCGCGCGCAAGTTTCTATCGAAAATGTTTTCATTCAACGGAAACGTATTGAAAGCGTGTCGAAAATGTGTGACGTCACACAAATATCCGATATTCTTATGAACGCTAATTCCGATATTCGAATAACGAGATATTCGAATACTTTATTCGAATTGGCCATCCCTGTTTGACACACAATTTTATTAAAAAGTCGCTTTTCTCTTTGATTACCGGGCCAATTGCTTTGAAATTTTCAGTGGTTGAATATGGAATTTTTTGCCAGAAGGCTATTTTACTTTCATTTATTTCTAAATTTTCTATGAATCCTATGAGATCTGATATTTTATTCGGAATTTTCGAGGGGGGCCGGTTGACAACCTGTATTGGCTTTTTGCGTCTCCCATCACTCTGAAATGCGGTTGGGAAACGATGCTGTACATGCATATGTTTTCATATGAGTCTGACCAAAGCAAAGTCTTGAACCTTCAATTAAGTTTCAATAGAGGAATTGCAGGCAACAACTGAAGTATGTTCAGATTATATGTTTGGTATTTCTATTTAGTATTTTCCAGTGTTCATCCCTTTTCTTCTCTTTTCAGCCTCTTCCGTCTAAATTCATTGTGAAAGGAATGGTGGACAGATTCAGCTCAGAGTTCGTGGGTGAGTTTGTGATTCCCTTCTTTTGAAAAAATGTGATTTAATTGGTCAAAATTTCAATTGTTACACCATGTATCACCATGTTAGGGAAGCAAATACGGAAACGTTTAAAAATGTACAATATAGTATATATTGTGGAATTCGCGACCTCAATTTGGGAAGGCGTGATCTATACAAACGAAAACATCTCTCAGTAGGACAATATTGTAGGAGATCAATTTTTCTTAATGCTTTTCCCGCAGGTACACGATGCAGAGCGCTGGATTCATTTCTGAAACGGATCGCTAAGCATCCAGTTATTTCATTCAGCGACCATGTCACCGTGTTCCTAACTTCTGAGGTAAGATCTCCGAGCCATTCTTAAAGCTCGTGCTCGAGGCACGAATGACGTTATGAAGTTTTTACTCTAGACCAGGGGTGTGCAACAGGCGGCCCGCGGGCCACAACCCGGCCCGCCAAGACAATAAGTGTGGCCCTTGTCAACACTTCCACTAAGCATCAAATTCTAACCTGACAGTTTATGTTTAAAAAAGCGCACACACAGGTTAAAATCCATAATTTTAAGTCTTTCGTCCTTTTGCCTTTATTACTGTAAGACTAAGCTATAGCCGAAAGATATTGAATTTTTTGAATGGCCCAGCTAGATGTCAGAAGTTGGTTATATGGCCCGCCGACAAATAATGTTGCACACTCCTGCTCTAGAATTTAGACATGGACTAATGTAAATGAAAACATTGGGTAGAAACAGATTATAATGTCTTGTGTAGTTTCATACCTAAAGTACTTCTAGTGGGTGTAGCATAACGATTTTTGCACATGTCAATCCTAACTCCTACCTGACTATGTCATCCGAAAATTACGTCACTATGACATCATAATCATGTTATAGAGCTTGGCAATATAAACCTATGATTGCCTGAAATGGCATCTGCTCCGACGATAAAAAACTCACTAAATTACAATAATCTAAATTTGATACCGCAATCGCTGCGATAGACTAGCCCAAAATTAGCTATCAAGGACACATGGTTTATTGTTTTGAATAAAAATGATAGTCTGAACATGTGAGCAAGTTCGCCGGCACCATTCTATCGTGTCGCCGTTAGTATTAAAACTTTCTTAATGTTTCAGGACTTTGCGGACCACCGGAAACAAAACAAACCAGGGTTACTGTCTCGTGTTGGGAGAACAGTCAAGTCCGCTGCATCGGTGGGGTCATCGATAAGGTCAAGAGGTCGTGACCCGGAGTTTGCAGAAATGTCAGACCATGTTGCCACATTCCGTGAACAAATGGCTGTAACTGATAGAGTAGCGGAGCGATTGCTGAATGAAGAAAAAGGTCGGGCTATTTATTTGCTCACCCACTTCTTTGTTATTTTTGGGGTTGGGGCAACTACCGTCACCTAAATTTGCTATTATTTATGTAGTACTTTTATGGATAATGTAGGAATGACAGAGATTTCTATTTTTGCCTTAAATTAAAAGTGCTCCGTATCGTCTGTGATATACGACAACGATTTACATATACAGGGCATTAAAAAGTAACGCAAAATTAACAGAAGTTAAATAATTATATGAAATGCTACTTAAAACATTTCACCTGACACCTTTTAACAATATTGAATATTACAGTGAAATTCCATTCAAACATTTCACGACTGACTCTTTTAACAGTTACTTTTTTAACGTTGCCATGACGAAAAAATGTACCCTAATTTTGCCTGAAATTTTTACCACCTTGTAGCTGAATTGCAATAACTGTCTGTTAAATTGTCAACGGCTTCTTGTAAAATGCATATTCGAGATTAAAAAAATGAATTTGCAAATCCCTGCTCTCGCTTATAAGCCGACTCTACGTAACACGCCTCACATAAAATAGTTGCAGAAGAGAATTTATGAAAATGATTAAAGCCGTTATTGTTATATGTATCTTACTTTTGTTACTAACAGTGTCTCAAAATCCTTCAAATTCATTCTCACTTTCCCTGTCAAATTACCCAAAGAGATTTATGCTGTCCTACAATGCATATATGATGATAGTTATGCGCGTATTGCCGACCCCTTACTTTTTTGAGTTTCAAACAAGAGTCTGTACTCCCGAAGTATGTGGACCAAGATGGCGGACACCGGAAGTATGTGTACCTGGTTAGGGTTAGGCCATAATTTTATTTCGATTTTTTTTTATTTTAGTTCTATTACAAGTTCGGGAACTAGCCAAGTGACTCCCGTAGTATTTGTACCTGAAATTTTGCCCTAACCCTAACCTGGTACACATATTATGTTCCGATGTCTGCCATCTTGGTTCACATACTACGGGAGTACCCGAGAAACTTATAATAAAAATGTTCTATTTTTCAGAACTTGTCAACGAGTTGAAAGAATACGCTCCTACGTACTCAGCATGGGCTTCAACAGAGAACCAAGTCTTAGCACCAATTATAACAGCAGTTTCAAAGTGCGTGGATTCTTGTGTCGAATGGGCGAGTAAAAACGCAGAAGACCATGAACTGTATTTCATTCCACCTTTAAAGGTAGTTGATTTGAACGTTACGTTTGGAGAATATTTCAGTTAGAAAAACAAGCAAAATTTTTCCTGATAATCAGAGATTTTGCTTTATATTTGTTGTAGTACTTTCCACGCGCGAATAATTATGTGCGAGAGCATTGCTGGCCTACTCGCCGTTGTAGGGTTGTTCAAGTAACCGCTGGTTGGATACGGTTAATCCACCATCAAGTCCATGCATCTGAAAACAATAAATATCTCAAATGGACTGGTAACTGGACAAGAGACTGTAGTTCTTATCGACTTTCCTTTGCCCCGGGATAAATATCTGAATTCTATCCTATCCAAATTATATGTACGAACGTTCACTTCTTTAATATATTTATGAGTAATATTCACCATGTACTTTTCTCAAAAAAATTTAAAAAGTCCTTCGAAGGTACAAAAAAGAAACTAGTCATTTTCACGACTAATGATCTCACAAAATTTCAACTTCAATATAATGAAGTTCGTGACATTATCATCAAGGTACCTGGGAAAAACATGTTCAACCAACATCTCATGGAAGGAGACTATCTGATGTTCTTCAGCCATCAAGTCCTTCAGGAAGTTTTATCCGCTATTTATATTTCAAACATGGATTCTACTTCGTTTCGCACATTTATCGAAACTGAGTTCCGAGATGATCATTGGGCATTTGTTCGCCATCTATTGGGTGGAATTATTCTGAATCCTGATATTGAAAGCAGTCTCTTAACAAACTTTTCTCCTGGTAAGTTAAATGTATTGTTATGTCTTACTCTTTTATACCATATTTGGACCTCCTGTGTGTACCGGTTAGGATTCAGGTTGTGTGACATCTTGGTGCACATACTTCTGGAGCACTCCATATTTGAATTTGTTTGACATCTTTTAACTTTCATGGGTTTGAAAAAAGTTGACAAGACTGATTTATTGTATATTGAATTGTGACATACAATCTGGCGAAGGAGAGCCAGGCCTGTAGTTATGTCATTTGTACTGCCCTATAACTACGGCCAATCTAGTATTTTGTTAGCTCCTAATAAGTCCCACTGGATGCAAACCCCCGTCTCAAAGATCATGTTTACAGTTCCCAAACTAAAATTATTTTTAACTTACCAGATGCCAGACAAGATGAGAAGAAGAAAATTCTTCACTCCAGCAGGAATGCATGTAATGTCATCAAATATACGACGCTGCAACCAACTAACTCGGGTTTGTCTATTCAACTCCAATCTCAATGCTGAACTGGTTCATATCCTGAAGTCAAATTTAGAAGGTTCCTGTTTGAAGGTAAACTTAATATTGGAAGTTGATAAAAGTATTTCTATTCAAGATAACTAATTGTTCCAACTCGTATCATAGAAATTAGTCTAGCTCAGGTGGTTCTATGTTCTGCCTCAGTGGTTCCCAGTCTTCGTTGAATTCCTTTCCTTCATCTATTTTGGGACTCTTCGGCGATTGTATACACGAGTCCATCGGTTGAATCATGACGTACTGGGGACTCGAATGGACTTGGTTCCAATGCTTTAATTGGTGAACCTGGCACAGTTAAAATTTGATTTGAATCGTTTTCATACGAGACTTGACTTGGACTCTGGAGATTTATGTACAGTACCTACTAGAGATGTATCAGGTATCGGTATCTGCAATATTGGCCATATTTTCGGTATCACCCAAATGAAGGCCAATTTTTCCACTATTTCCAGTTTTCGATCTGATCCAGAATGTTTAAAAAAAATTAACTTGGTATAAGGGGTTGAAATTTCTTTTGTATGGTGGTAACATGTTTGCGGTATATGCCTTGTTAACTCCTAAGCCATGGCCGCCCCATAGCTAGTGTTGCAGAAAACCAACTAGGTAATCATCGCATACGGATTGGTTCAGCTTCAAACAAGACTATAAAATGAATTCTTATTGGAGAATCTTTGGCAGTAAAGCATTTTCTTCTTTATAGTATTCATTTGACCACTGCAAGTTTTAGCTTCCTGCTTTTAGTGTCAGTGGATATCTATTTAGACCACTTCATTCATTTCCTCCCACAGCTTTTCTGCTTGGGATTCTTTACTACTGGTTAATCAATTGCTTTGTTCAGGTTCTCACCATTTCAAATATTCTTACAGTCTCTATTTATTTCAGTTGTATGAACTGGATGTCGGTGGCAACAGGGATCTTGGCACTGCTGGTTGGGCTGAAGTTGGATTAGTTGTTACACAATGTCAGGTGAGGTGTTCAGGGCTTGGGAGTGCAATCTGACAGCAGAAGGAATGAAAGCGTTCAAGGAAAACACTCTCGATGCAAAGGTAAGATGAAACATTGAGCATAAAAAGTAAACAGCGTAAAGGCAATTTGAAGAAAATCTAGGTTTCTGGATCTGGGGCCTTAAATTTTGCCGATCCAGACTGGCGGGCCATGTAAGTGTGACGTAAAAGTTACATTTTATGAACAATTTTTTACAGTGTTACATAGGCGAAAGTAAGAAACAATAAGCTCCGTGCCGAAAGTAAATTTGATTGGAATTTCAACAAATTGCTTGAGTTATCCTCAGCTAAAACATCAAAATTTGGTTTTAGTTGGTTGTGGTAACATCAGGTGGGCTGGGCTGGATTTGGCCTGGGGGCCGTAGCTTGCCAATGTCAGCTATAGAAACACAAAATCCTGCGCACGCCACTCAATGTATTTTTTTAAGTAAACATCTTTATGAGGTCATACACCAAACAAAAACATTCAGCGTTCAGGGCTTGAAATGAGCGTAGGATCTCTGACCTGGTTTAGGCATCAAACTCCTAAAAATAAATGGGCAGGCCATCAATGCCTTGCATTTTGCTATTAAGATATGATATTGGATTATAGCTGGCGAACTGGCAGGAAGGTTGACACGAACCGGTGGTTGAAAATCGTTGATCTAAACCAGGGGTTCTCAACCTATTTTCTGTCAAGTATCCCCCGAGTCACGAAACAATCAACGCGAATCCCCGGTAATCAGACACCAAACAAAGTTGTGATACTGATATATTGACTAACAAAGCCTACACATTGTTGCGTCACAATCACAACAACGCAAGATCAGGGGAAATCTACGTTTCAATTGGCGACTAGTTTCAATGGACATGCATTTTCCCATGGTAGTAAGAAAGGATATTAAGAAACAGCAACATACAAAAACTAGACTGTCATCCAAGTACCCCTGGAAATCTTCTCGTGAACACCTGACGTCTATTGATAACCCCAGGTTGAGAACCCCTGATCTAGACAAACCCTCTAAATCCAGCACTGCTTTCACTGATATACATTCTGCCTTTATCTATGAATATTCTATCATCTAGGAGAGCTTCATTAACTTTGCGGTGCTGTTTGTGATTTTAAAATGAAAAACTTAATATTTTCAGATAAAGCTCCTGAATCTGGATACTAACAAAGTCAGCAAACTCAGAGATGAAGGATTATCTACAATCAGTGAAATTGTTCATCAATGTCAGGTTGAAGCATTGGAGATGAAATATTGTGACTTCAACAAAGATCAGCTGGAAAGATTCAAAGCATTGATCGCTGATACCCGGGTTGAGTTCATTGTCTAGTAGAATCCACAAACAATGAATCGAATAATCCTTGAAGCCGGGTCATTCGAGCTTTAATTTTATTCAACTTCAACTGGTTCATTTCTATCAACAAAATTAGTTTCATAGTATTAATTGTTTCCTCTCCATACAAGGCTCAAGCAAGCATCCATTTATACATATGAATCTGCCACAATGCTTAAAGATCAGACACCCTGAACATATCAGGACTCTAGTGTGTGATTTATACAATGTTCCCAACTAAGCAACTCTTCAAGCATTTCATTTTAATTAAAAATATTTTTTCATCATATTCCCTGTCAATAGAATTAAAAGGTAATACCCTTTCAAAGCTAAAGGAGGATTTGTACAATATGTTACTTTGCCTATTCGATGCTCGCACTTCGATGTCGCACACATTTCTTGCATATTCCTAGTGTTTATCTTTTCCTTATCCACCCTAATGATGATTCTAGTCCAGGGGTGGGCAAGGTTTTTGGATCCGGGTCAAAATTTTACTTTAAAGTCAACAAATACAATGTTAATATACATTTATTGTGACTTCTGATGCTGCATGTTGTCGCTGCGGGTCTGGAATGACTGCTCACGTGCAGCACAAGTTGAAATCCACGATCCTTATCACCTTTCTTTCTTCGGCGAAAAGCATTTCTCCTGACTCTATCGCTTTGTGATGTCACAAAATATGTTCCAGAATCCCCTAGTTTTGTCGCAATGCCTGTCCGGTAATTTTCTTACATAACGTAGACCTGAGCTGGGCACGTGTTCTCATACACATTGGCAAATTTTCCGCCTTATTTGGCTATAAAAGAATTTGAAATCTCATGAATGACAATAGTAAGCTTAGCATTAGAATACTAGATTTTTCTTGGAGCCATATGCCGTCACTAAAAGAGCCATATATGGCCATGGGTTCCCGACCACTGTTTTAGCTGGATCCACTTTATCAATCATTTATACATTAAGTTTAGACTATTCAATGGATTTCACAGACATTCTTTGCGTATTTTACAATTTTTCATGTTATTATTGATCCATGTATCTAACTAAATTCCAAGTTTCAATTTCTCCAACTAAAGTTTATGTTTGAATTTGACTAAAAATATTTTTTCATCATATTCACTGTCAATGGGTTTGCAAATTGGGGGGTTTGAAAAAAGTTTGAGGTTTTTCCCCTTCAAACTGATTTGAAATGGTTGATTTTTAACTGTCAAAAGTTTTTACCTTTTAAAGCTAATGAGGCATCCAAACATATGGATCTACCTAGGATCACTGTAAAATATCCGATCTTTTCAAATTATTTATCCAATGATTGATGGGTATTCCCTAAGTATGAGAACCAAGATGGCGGACACCGGAACGTAGTATGTGTACCAGAATTAGGCTATAATTTTATTCCAATTTTCCTTATCTTGGTTTTATTACAAGACTAACCAAGTGACTCCCGTAGTATTTGTACATGTAAATATGGCCTAACCCTAAACTGGTACACATACTTCGGGAGTACCCATTTATGAGCGAAATAGTGAGCTAATCTGGACTGCTTGAATGAACTATTGAACTCGAACTTTTGGCATTCACTAGTAAAATAGTTGATTGGTATAATATGGAGTGATGTTTTGATAAGAAATTTAACATATTATAAATTATAATATAATGTTGGATTTTATATTCCCATATCCACTTATCTGTTATGCTTGTGAGCTTTTCATTTCGATACTTGCATATCGCATCATCGCACGTCTTCCTTGTATCTTTTATCATGAGTGAAATATCTTTTACTATTTTTCCTATATCCTATATATCGCTTACTATATATACTATAAATCGCTTGTTCATGCAGTGCTTATTAGCTACAAATACCGAGAAAATCTAATTTTCGAGCTCCTTAATAATGGGAATAGGGTTCACATATTTATACCGGGAAAAGGAAAGCCAATAAGACGACGAATCATATGAAGAACCACAGTCTATCATCCGGTTACCAGTTCATGTCCAGTATGGGATAAGTTAGCCAGTTACTTGTTTTCGGAAACATGGACTTGGGTGGAGGAAGCCGTAACTAAAAAATGGTTATTTGAGACACCCTACAATTGCGAGAAGTACAGCAATCTTGCACATAATTAAGTATTAGGGTTGGGCTATAATTTTATTCTGATTTCCCCTAATTTTGTTATATTGCGAGTTCGGGGACTGTCTGTGTTAGCCGATTGGATATTCCCCCTGCCCATAGGCTTCTGTCTCTTTACACAACTTGATGTAAAGTAGGCGAACAAAATTAGTTATCCCCATATTGGTACATATACTTCTGGAGCGATTCACTCACACATGATTCGAGACTCTGAACCCCAACATGGAAATTAGAGGTGCGGTGACAAGGCGAGTAAAACAGCGTTACTCACAATCTTATCCAATTATTCACAGACACTATGTTTTGTGTTAGATATCAAACCATTCTCATCATAAACGTACCATTATATATAGGGCGGTTGCTTCATACTGGATTACAAGGACTATCCCGAACATACTCTAAAAAGCCTGCCTGGGCGGCTATGGCGATCCAAATTTGTTGAACTTTTAATTTTTCAGTATAGGTATAAGTTTATGCCGTTCTTTGTGCTGTTTCTCGGGGCGCATCACTGCCATTGAGCTTTTGACGCCTTGTATTATCCACCGTCGTTATGTCAGTCTGTCTCGTAACCTAGCTAGCGTCCAAACGACTGTACTGATCCGAATGAAATTTCCCACATGCTTCGTCCAGTCACCGAATTACTGTGCTTTTCATCAAAAGTCCGGATTGGTGTTACGTTTCCATGGCAGCAGCGAACAAACTGTGTATACCCAATGACATTTCGTAAGTAAGAGATATTGCCCCGCAACGGTATGGGTAATAATATCAGTGTTTTATGGCCTGTCAGTGTGTTGTTTGAAACCTCGGCTGTTCATATTGTGTTTCCTGTAATCTCCATGCTAACATGTCATAAAGCTACACTGCGTATAAGTATTGAAACTCATGTCTTATAACGGTGTGCAGTGCGTGAATGCTCGATAAGTTTAAACACAGAAATATGTTGTTCCCAGATCGACCAAAAGGTCGCATATTCTATAAGGTATTTATTTTAAATATGGCATACTGAAATGGAGATTTCTATAGTAAGCGGATAGCGGAGTTCATGGTTTCAAACCTACAAATTTGACAGATGGAAAGTATACTTGTCTGTAGGTTCTGTTAAGTGTCCTTTATTACAGTGTAAAATCACCTGTATCATAATCTTGAAAGCGTATGTGACCTGCAAGATTGGTTTTATTCGACCCTGATCTGATACCTCTGCCAACGTATCTGAACATTTCTAAATTTCTTGCTGATCGATGACAAAAAGAAGAAGTGGAGAGCACAAAAAATTAAACAATGTGCTTAATTATCACATATGGTGATATATCTACTTGTAAGTTTCTACTGTAACTCTGTCTTTTTTGACTTAAAATAAAAAAAAAGTGTGAATGCATTAACTAGCACAAGCAAATACATCGAGATTCGATTTTAACAATAAAATTAGATCTTTGCCCTAACTCAGCGGTGTGCAACCTTCATTACAGGAGGGCCAGATACAAGTAACTAGGTGAAGCCGCGGGCCGCACTTTTATTTGATATGGCCTTTCTAGTAGCCGAGTTGCAGACACAAATTGTTTCTTTATGTTATTGATCTTACGGCATTGTCAGGGGTCCCTGTAGAAATGGCGAGTTAAAACGCATAAATTTATATAAAAAAATGCTATTCAAATTTATTTTCACACCGACTTCATTCAGAAACACGTTTTTATAACAGTGTATATTTTGCTAGCTAGTTTAGCTAATATGGCAGTGATACTCACGTTTTGGTATAGGTTATGAGGCGCAAAGAGATTGGAATTGCTCGCACGTATCAGATTAACTAAACTAAACCCTCGTTTCGCGGGCACACTATTCCAATTTGGCACTTCTCCGCGGGCCGCACAATTTTTCCTCGCGTTTCGTAGTTTGCACAACCCTGCCCTAACTCTTTAATAAAATCCTTATCCCTGAACAACACAGCCAAATTAGCAGAAAACCCGTCAAACAACTCCGTGGTAACCACCTACCAGATACATTTACAGCAAGGCTAGCCCAGTTAGTCGACCCTGTTTGACTACATATGGAATAAACGCAGGTTAACAAATTGAAACGAAGTCATACATACTGTGAAGAGAAAAAAGTAAAATACCATAAATTTTGTTTTATGAGTCTTGCGACAAATAAAAATTGTGCATATATTAAACGTCGTTAATTGCAAGAATGAAAGCATTTATATGTACCTAGGGCACAAAAATACCGATCTTTTGTATAAGGCGCCCGCCTCTAATGCAAAAAAATAAAATTTGGAAATAAACCGTCGCCACGTTTTGAAATAACAACATTAGTAATTATACAGTCAGGGTTGAATTTTCAGTGCAAACGGTATTCTTTACTCCAACCCTAACAGGACGGGTTTTTTCACAAAAGATTACAAAATACTCTCGCTTACCGTCAATAACAATACGGACATACTGAAGTTAATTTAACAACCTTTTGTGCATTGTAGGTTTCAAATTAGCCTTGTCTACCAGGTTAGGGCATAATATGATTCCTATTTTAGTTCTATTACGAGTTCGGGGAATATCTGTGTTAGCCAAGTGAATATACCCACTGCCCATAGGCTTCCGTCCAACTACGCAACTTGATGTAATGTAGGCGAACAAAATTAGTTACCTCCATATTGTTACGCATAACTACAACTGGAGCGCCGATTCAACTTAAGCAAGATAAGAAAGAAAACAAAATATATTTACACCTGCTCGCAGATAAAAATTAGAATACTATGAAACATTTCGCTCCGTTCGATAAATGAGGCTCGGTTGGCTGTGCAAAGAACTTGTGAATAGATTATGACAAAAGCAAAAAAAATACAAATATTCCAATGAATTCCATTCCTAGTGAAACCTTTTGTGTGTTATCTTGCCGAAGAGACCACAAACAACGCAGAAGACAGTTAATTCGAAGTGTGAGTTAATGTTGAAATGTACGAGGATTGAGCGTTTTATTCTTTTTAATATGTTTCGGCGTATTATTCATTTTTAATATATGAATATAAATTCGATGATATATAGGATAAATATCGTTTGAATTGAGAATTAACGTACAGACAAGGATACAAAGATGTATAACATAGTTTCCAATAATTAGAAATCTGGAATCACCCTAAAGTACAATATTCAAAACGATACTACTACACTACGAAATAAATCGGTTGTTTGGATAGACTACTTACTCGACTACCTACGAAGACAGGTTGCAACTTAGCATTATTTTAACAATTATACCACGTACAGTGATCATGAATAATAGAGATACGACGAAAGAAACTTAAGTAATCAAAGTGAAAAGATGCCATATCACAATATATTAAAAATAAACATGAAATGACATTAAACAATATTATATTCCGCTGCCGTCTTATTACATAACTCATGAGGTACCTGAATCTATGAGTTGATATAAAAAAAAACGGAAGCGAAATAAACATTTCCTATTGACTGACGCTTCTTATGCGTACGATATGCAACAAGATAAACGGGTGATTTCCTGCCCATTCTAAAGTAACATTAACGGGTGATAAAGTAACCCACATCCAATGCTTGAATATTTCATTTTAAAAAATTTACAAATCTCTATCCTCCTCTTGCGGCTGCGAAAGAATACACGTTGTAACCTGAACATACAGGCTTACGTCACAAGTCATGGTTATCTTATCGTTTTGCTCAGTGAAAAACGACATCCAAAGAAGCCAACATTTATCGTAAACCACTGATTTACGCACAATCGATTTGTTATCAGAAAAGCAATGTCCGAGATTCACACACGCATAACATATTGGCAGACAGCTAATTTTGATTGAGTTTATTATTATCGGATGCTAATTACGGTATTCCTGAAGTATGCTCACCAAGATGGCGGTCACCGAACCGTAGTATATAACCGTATGTGTACCAGGATATGGTTAGGCCATTTATAATTATATTCCAATTTACTTCATTTTAGTTCTATTGCGAGTTCAGGGACTAGCCAATTGACTACCGTAGTATTTGTACGTAAAACTATGGCCTAACTTGGTACAGATACTACGTCCCGGCGTCTGCCATCTTGGTACGCATACTTTGGGAGTAACCTAATTACTATGGTGTCGGTGGGCAATAATTTAACTGGACCATTTCTCTCCATTGAATAATTTATTTTTTTGTGTTCCACAATCACAGTAATTTCACTTTAAAATTATCAAAACGCTTGAAATTCAAATTTTCGCCGCCCACTTCAATTGTATAAATCAAGAGACAAATTCTCAAATTTATAGACACGGTGGCCACAACGAAGTAGTACGGGTACGCAATCTTTTACTGTAGTCTAGTATCTATGAACAAACGATCCCGCGACGCAAGAAATTATCTTTAGATTATTACAGTCCCAACGGAATCTTAGCCAATAATAGAGTTAATAGACGGGGCCATGACGCGCTTAGCCGAGTGATCCAAACGCAGATCCAATTCGTTGAAGCCGCAATGCGAAAACAATAACTGGATAAATTAGGCTACTCACCAGAGTCGAGATGAGGCTTCTAAATATGCTCCCGAGTTCCTTACTATCCGTATTCCATTCCGTACCGTAAACTCATATAATTCCCAACATATTACTGCAACTAAAGTTTCCTTTATCTACATCTCATGCA